ATATACTACATAATTAAAACGTACCGTGGGGAGGGCTAGAATACACCCAACCAACATGATGCCCATGAAGATAGGACTCGCCCGTCTAAGCCGAGGATAGTTGCGTAGAGCTATCACAGCTGCCAGGGCAATTACCAGGCTGATCTCGCACAGTATGATTACTACCATACACGAATACTTCTGAGCGTCGCCGAGCTGGCCTGGCGCTGGTTATGGGAGAGATGTACCAGTGCGCCGTGATATGGTAGTAAGTTGGTCACATGTTGTTTTGGGTTGGGGTTTGTGGCGATAGAAACGGTCTTCAATGTGCTACAAGAGAGTATACGAGGATATGCATAGCGTGTACAAACGTTATATTTATACGTCATCAAGTTCCAGTCGCAGCCGTGATGGTCTATCGATAAACAAAAGTGCGTCATATATCAGTAATGACTGATGTGCTCAGTAGTATGGTCTATATTTCCACAGATAAGCAACCAAAAGCATGTGTGTGTATATGTGCATATCAGTTAACACATCGCATCTCATGCAATTCATGCTAAGCCGCTAGTATATTGTTTGTATCACCACTACCGCACGGATAGATGTTGCAACCCATAATGTATACAATTAAACACTATATATATACAATTGAACTCTGATATTTATCCAATCAAACACTATATATGTATACAATTGAACCTATATATATATCCAATCAAACACTATATATATACAATTGAACTTATATGTATATCCAATCGAACTCATGTATATCATGGAAACTCAACTGTATGTAATCTAACCCAAAGACATCCAAGCAAACACTATACATATACAATTGAACTCAAATATAAATCCAATCTAACTCTTGTATATCATACAAACTCAAACGTATGCGATCTAACTCAGGGATATCCAAGCAATATATATACAATTGAACTTGTATATACATTGAAAATTGAAATGTATACAATCAACCCATAGACATTTATTCAAAATCACATGTATACAATCTATCTCATAGATATCCACGAAACTCATATATTCATTTGAACACAAATGTGTACAATCAAACTCATAGATATCCAATTAAACTCACATATCTATTTAAACACAAATGTGTACAATCAAACTCGTAGGTATCCAATTAAACACGCATATCCATTCAAACACAAATGTGTACAATCAAACTCATAGCTATCCAATCAAGCTCATATACACACAATTGATCCCAATAACAACCATGCGGTAGTCGGCTCTATGGCCATTGTAATAATATACATCCATTCGTGTGGATGAATACCCTATCACCTTACGTCAAGTCACACGTCTGTGAACTGTACTGCAATCGGCTCAAATGGTACATGTGTACACGAGAAGGGCCCGAATCACAGTTATCTCTACCAGCTGTGCTGCAAATAGAGATCAAAGCTATCCCTACCTACGGCCAGCCATATATACATGGCCAAGACCAGTGAAAGCCCATCCATCCATAGGCGCATAGATTAGTATTACAATACATGCATAGGTGTTGAGTATACAATCATAGCACAACACACCACAACACACACACACAC